TGGGTTACTTACTTTAAGATATCCCTGCCATTATAGGACCCTCCCCTTTTTACATTCCTTACCTTCTGACTGTCTAGAATATTACCTGTGTATGTATAATTTCATGGGAAGTGAGGACAGGGTTGGAGGGGTGTGATGCTTCTGTGTATAAATAGGATGTTATTGGGGATTGCAGTTCAGAGGAAGGCAGTTAATACATTCCTTTATATATGTCTATTTAATTGTTCCATTTGGACATAATATCATTTATTTATTGAGCTTTCAGTCATGCGCTAAGCAATTTAAATTGAACTTTATCTGTGAATTTTTCCAAAAATTTATTTAATACTAATCTTTCTAAGCAGGATTAATTCTGGCAGGATCTTATACTTATCCCTTAAATTTGTGGAATAATTTTCCCAAATTCTCCACATTAAAGAAATGTTTGCTTTACTGGATTAGATTACTTTCTTGAACTCATTTACTGACCACTAGGTTCTAGAGTAGATTATGTTGCTGCCTTACATAAATAGGTAGATTTTTATTGTGTTTGTACATTTACCTAGGGCAAAAAAAAGTTCACTAGCTTTACAAAAGGGTCTATAAATTAAATAAGTGTACTTCTAGAGACTGCATATGGTATTTTTGCAGAGCAGTCAAAATATATTGTGTTGCTGTTTTACAGGATTTTTGCATCTTAAAAATAATCCACCTAATTATGGGTAGGTGACATATCTTACAAGATCAGTGTCTATTTAGTCAACAGTGGCTTACTTTGCTGAAAGCAAATTCAAAAATTAATACTTCGTTTATTTTACGTAAAATGTTGCGAGATGGATTTTAGAAGCAAAGTTTTTTGTTTGGAGACTAAACCAAAGCCAACAAACAAATATTTGTTTTATCACAAGAAGTAGAGCAAATAGATTTAGTTTATGTAGTACACTAAACAGGTGATCATTTTATATTAATTTTATAATGTTATTAGTCATGTGCTTTTGAATTTTTTATTAGTGGTAGAAGAGCACCTTTTATTGGCCACCTCCTGAAAGTGCTACTGAATTAATTGGTATAGCCAGCCCTAAGCATTTTCACCATAACAATTCAACATTGTTGAGTTTTTCCTTACCAGTGTGATTTATTAATATTTGTGTTGTAATTCAGTCTCTCCTGTGTTTTATTTTCAAATATGTGTATCTATTCCTACATATAGATATTGTAACATTTTATCACTGTATGTATACATATATAGGGGAGGACCAAAAAACTTGGAATTATTTTTTAGAGAGTGGGCCCCTTGTAGTAAGTACAGGCTTCCCCTGCAAGGTAATTGTTTGAGGAACCTATCAGCATCAGTGTAGCAGCTAGCGTTGTTATGAGTGGCTGTGTTTGGCTTCAGTTAATCTTTTTTTGGGATATTCTTTCAATGCTTTTGCCAGTTTTCAAGATGAGTGATTTACAAGCACACCTGCCCACACCTCACTGAGTTCCGCAGTTTTTGATCAAAAATGACATGACTCCTGTACCTTGCAACTTGAATGACTTTAATTCACATAGTTTTAACGTACCTTGTCAGATTATCTTTAGCACACCTTAATTTTGGTAATTTCTTTGTAAAGTATGTAACTATGTCTTTTAAGTTTCAGATACCCATTTTAACTCTGTGGTATGCTTTAAAAACACACTGTATAATGCCTAGAACATAAGTAAATGAGTTAACTAAGTAAACAGTCTCAGATAGAAACTAAAATATGACCCTGCATATATTTCTAGAAATTCCTACATTTTCCAGATTGAATTGCATTTGCTTCTCTGTTTGCTTACCATTTTTCACATATTTACTCACCCTTTAAATCCTAGAATCTGATATTTGTTAGCCATTTAATTATTTATTAAGTCACTATTGTTGTCTTTATCCTTATGGAGCCACAGTTTAATAGGAAAAGCTAAATGAATACAAAGGTGGAGAAAAGGTAATTGGTAAAAATTGAGGTTAGAGAAGACTCCTGACGACAGACAAGTTAGACAAAAGAAGCAGGGTAAGGAAAAAAGCTGCAGTGATATAACTGGGTGTTGTCCAAAGGCAGATGTATCAGTTTGTGTGTGTTATGTGTGTACAGTGTCACGTCAGTCTATTTATGTTGATTTCATTTTTTATTTTTTGCTTTGAGGTCTCACTCTGTTGCCTAGGTTGGATTGGAGTGGCATGGTCATGATCCATTGCAGCCTCGACCTCCTGGGCTCAAGCCATCCTCTTGCCTCAGCCCCCTGAAGAGTTGGGACTACGGGCGCCTACTATCCTGCCCGCCTAAATTTTCTAATATTTTTCTGGAGAGCTGGGTTCTGGCTTTGGTACTTAGGCTGGTCTTGAACTCCTGACCTCAAGCAGTTCTCCTACCTTGGCCTCGCACAGTGCTAGGATTGCAGGCGTGTGCCACCGTGCCCTGCCTTATTTATGCTCATTTAGATTCAAAAATCAAACATTTCTAATATTTAATATAGAGGTTCAAATTTGCACCCTCATTTGGTTCTAATGTCAGAAAGTCATGAGTAGTGCGAACACAGCATAATGCTGTTTGGAGGAAAGAATGGGGATTCCACAAAACACCAGTGGTGTTTCCATCCATTCACTGCGTTTTTTGGAATTCCTGTGTATTTTAGCTTGCTTGTTGCCTTGGCCCATTGTCTATTGCTGTAACAAAATGTTACAGACTGGGCAATTTGTAAAGGAAAGAAATGCATTTTTTACACTTCTGGAGGCTGGAAAGCTTGAGGGGTGCGTCTAGTGAGGGCCTTCTTCGTGCACCGTGTCACGGCGGAAGACATCACGTGGCAAGAGGGCAAGAGCAAGCATCCGACTTCCAGTCTCTATTCCTCTTCTCATGAAGTCCCCAGCCTCATCAAAGGGTCCCCACCTTGATGACCTGTCGAATCCCAGTTACCTCTCAACGGCCTCACCTCTGAAAAACCGTCAGCATAAGAATTTGGAGACTCATTTAAGCCATAGCACTTGTTTACTTATTTTTGATTACATAATCTGTAGATTTTATCATCTAGTTTTAACCTAACCTCACAAGAACATGACTCTTACAAAAGGACCGGCATATAGAAACAAGAATTAGGAATAAGAGACAAGAAAATGGCAGAGTTGATACTACTAGAATGAATTCATCATTTGCCATGATCTAATCAGTTCAGAAGATATCTGAAAAAAATTAGAAATCATCAAGAAAAATGTTTAAAATATAGACACACCTTCACTATTGTTACTGATTAGCCTTGCTCAAAGAGTAAATTGTACCTTACAATATCACTTAATGATGATAAGCTATTATGATTAAGAAGATTTTAAGGATCTAGATTGCTATAAACGAAAAAATATAGTAGCACTATAAGTAAGGTAATCTGTGTTTTATTTCTCTTGAGTGTGTTTTTGAATATAATTTAGTAGCACATATTAATTACTTATAAATATATTGAATGTATGTATGCCTCACAATGTTTATTTGACAAAGGTGCTCTGTTGATTTTTTTTTTTTTATAACAAGCAGTCCTATATCACTTTAGCTCAAAAAGCCATGAAAACTTTTTTTTTTAAGTCGAATTCTCACTGTTGCCCAGGCTGGAGTGCAGTGGCATGCTCATGTTCACTGTAGCCTCGACCTGCTGGGCTCAGGTGATCCTTCTGCCTCAACCTTCCGAGTTCCTAGAACTACAGGCACACCTGACTAATTTTTTTATTTATTGTAGAGACAAGGTCTCACCAAGTTTCCCAGGCTGGTCTCAAACCCTGGTGTCAGGCAATCCTCTCACCTCCACCTTCCAAAGTGCTGGAATTACAGGCTTGAGCCACTGCACCCGGCCCACCATGAAAACTTTTAATAGTAATATTAAATGATGTTTATAACATATGACCCTGAGGTAAACAGAACCTAGTGGTATCTAGTTTTTGTTTGGACTCAGTTGTGATGTCTGGAGAACATTTTCTCAGTAGGCCTACCAACTAGTTCAAGTGTATCATGGCAAAAAACCTTGGGGCTCCCTCCCACTTCATGTCTTAAAGCATCCAAGGTTGGTAGGATAATTCCAGTAAGCATGTGGCATGTTAAATAAGTGGTATTTTAACTCCTAAATCTCTTTATGATTTAATTACTTGAAAGTTACATAGTAGCAGTAAAGTTATTTTCACCATGGAGTCAGCAATCAGGACAAATGAGTATTAGAGTCAATGAAGGATAAAACCAGAGGGGAACAAACTTGAAGACTAATATTAAAGTACTTCTGCAGTTGATCAGTGTGTTCACTTAGTTATCTTTTTAATGTTTACTCACTTAATTCATCTTGTTGGTGTAGGAGCTAAACCTCCCACATACAGTAAACACTCCTTTCTATGACCGCAGCTTGATTTTTATCCTGTCACTCGTACAGGAAGTTGTACTCTGCTCTAGCACATGGTGGAACCTGTGCTGGTCATTGTTCCACATGCATCTCCCCTGACATGGTATGTGAACCAACTCGTACGTGTACACAAAAGAATCATGGAAAGGAGTGTGCTGTGACTTGTCAATTGAGAATAAGATGTAAAACCTGAAGGGATGGCAGTTTAGCAAGTTTTGCATAAAATTGTTTCAAAGCCCAACTATATCTTTCTCTTTATTATTAAACTATATATAGAATACAAATTGATTCTTTGTGGCTCATGACCATAGATTATGAACATACTGTATTGTGCCCTAATGCAATAATGTTTGCACAAGTTGAATTGGTTGGTGGTGAGAGGATGCACCCGTGTGCACAGTTATCTCTGAGTCTCATTTTGTTCACTCTGTCCACCTCTTAGTAGTGTCCTTAAGACCAGCCACATATAAAGCTTTCAGAAGTTGCTGCTGCTGTTTATGATAGCAATTATTTGCGGGAGAACGTTATTCAGTGGTGGGGATCTTAATGAGTATTTCAAACATGTAAAATTCGATATGGAAAATCTTTTAAACAGAATTTGTTTTAGGGCACGTTGAATACTTTACTTTCCTTTTTCTCAGCATCAGCAACAGCAACTTGTGATTGGCGTAACCGGAAACTCAGTTGCACGTCCCACATCAATGCACTGCCAATGGTAAGACTCCCTCTAACTCCCAATGTCAGAGTGTTCTAATCGCTCTGTTTATTAGATTCTTGTTTTTAGAATCTTGTGGGAATTTTGAAAATTTCTTATAATTTGACAGAATACATGTTCCTAAGCTAAGTACACGTTTTAAAAAATAAATTTAAAGTACCTAAACTGATTTGAATAACCCTACTTTTTGAACATTCTCATTTTCTGTAGTTTTTAAAACATCTTAGCTATGATCATCAGTATGAAAAATATTTTTACATAATGATGTGTTTTGTCAAATGAGCTATATTTTGTGAATAGTATTTTCTTGCTAAAAGAAGGCACCAGTGGCAGTAATAGCTCTTTTATTTATTTATTTATTTATTTTTGGCCTGTCATTTTACTAAAGTAGATTGTTTTTGTATATTGCATTCATTCCACTTTTTTTAGTTAATGGGCAGTTAACTGGCTAAAATTCTGCCTGTTTTTAGTTAATGGATAATTTAAAGGAGAACCATTCTTATTTATTTAAAAAGATTTTAAGAAGTCTTTCACTGTGGAATAAAAATGTCACTCATGTGATGTATCAGAAAACTACTGGACTCTGTCACAGCTGGGATTTACTTTATTTCCTGAATGTGCTAGGAATCTTTGACGTTTGGCAGGTACTTTTGTAGCGTTAGATCAAGGAATTGAAATAAATTTCTGAGAGTTATGCTAGCTATAGGCTAAGTGATCTTATCATTATTAAATAGAATTCAGAATGATTTTCCCTTACAAATAATAATTTCTTATCCAAATAATATTGCTATGTATTTTGGGGATTTGTAAACAGCAGGAAAATTAACTTCTGGTTTTGTTTTTTTTTTGGAATTAATTACTTAAATAATATTTTCCATTTAAAAATGTTCATTGCCAACAGTTTTGATTATTTTTACTTAACCAAATATCGCCAGTGTAAATGAAAGTTTTGTTTCAAAGATACCTGTCTTAGGGATACATGGATATTGCATCTAAAGAATAGCCAAGAACAAATTTTATTCCCAGAGTTGCTTTATTTTTGCCTTTGTTCCTGTCAACCTGAGAGAAATTGTATTAGTGATTCTGAATATATTAGGTGTAGATACTATGTATTGCCAAGATGAAATGTTCAGATGACTAAATGATGAAATTGTGTGTATGCCAAGTTATAATCACTTCAGGTAATTTGCATTAAAACAAGATTTAAAAAACAAGGTTTTTTTTTCATTGAACTTTTTATCATATCTTTATAATAAAAGGCATTCTAAGTAGATTTTTGATAGATTGGTTGTAGAGAGGTGTATTCATTGGAGTTTTAAGTTTACTAGCTAAAAACCTTAGTATCAACATGAGCAGTAAATATAAAGTATAATATCAGCTGATCTTTGAACTTTAAACTAGTAGCTAGGCTGGACGCAGTGGCTTAGCCTGTAATCCCAGCACTTTGGGAGGCTGAAGCGAGAGGATTGCCTGATCCCAGGGCTTTGAGACCAGCCTGGGCAACTTGGTGAGACCTTGTCTCTACTGTAAATCAAAAAATAAGCTGGGCATGGTAGCATGCGCCTATAGTTCCAGCTGTTTGGAAGACTGAGGTGGAAGGATCACTTAAGCCCAGCAGGTCAAGGCTGCAGTGACTGTGAGCTTGCCACTGTACTCCAACCTGGGTGACAGAGTGAGGCGCCAACTCAAAAAAACAAACAAAAACAAACTAGTAGCTAAATGTTAGACCCTGGAGAATTAGTTAGGATCTAGCAGTTAATTATATTTAGGAATTTATGGTTAGAAAAACCACCATTTTTTTTTTTAGTTACCAGAGCCTTTCTGTTATTTTTTACTGATGGAAGCTTGATTTCTTTCATAATAGAAAACTTAAGTACAAAGACATCTCTTTTTGTGTCTGTGTATCACTGAAAACAAAGTTGTTGTTTTATTTCAATTAGCTTCATTGTCAAAAGAAGCTGGTTTATATTTTGAAAACTAACTAGAAACACTTATTATGCATAGGGAAAATATACTCATTAACACAGAAAGATATCACAAGCATAATTGTTGTTTTGTTGCGTGTTAAAATTAAATCGTTTAATTTCCTCTAATCATTTTTCTTGTCATCTTATTCTTTGTTCAGTTACTTAATCAGGGACAAATTTGAGGCAATTTATCATCTAATGTAATTACTACCCAAAGGTATACTATTTTCTAGATTTACGGGCAGCCTGGCCAAAGGTGAATAGGTCTTTTTAGGTCATAATTTGGTTACTCATTATTAGTTCAGCTTAGATGATAATGCTACTAGCTAGTATATTTTAAAAACTTTTCTAGCAATTCAAAGTTATAAAGCAGTTGCATTTTGCAGATTCAAATTGTATTTGTGTCCTTTTTTAATAACCAAAACTATTTTCATCCCTTTTCCCTTCTGGTGTTTCCAATGTTAACAGTTTGATTTTACTGTTAACAAAAATCCTACCTTTTAGGATTCCTTGAATTCATTGTCAGAATCACTCGGTGTGATTCTGTAAGAGCTGTAAGAGCCCCTTCGGATTATCTAATTCAGCATCCACATTTCACACATGAAGAAACTGAGGCCTTGGACTAGAACAGAGGTCTTCTGAATAGTCTAGGACTCCTTCCATTACATCGTGCTGCCTGATGTTTGTCTTTATGGAACTCAGCAACATCACATACAGGGCAAATTTTTTTTGTTTTTAACGAACACACGGTGATTTGCTACCTTCATTAACTGCTATACATCATTTCTGTCTAACTTTCATTTTCCTGTTCTAACCATATTATTTAACTCAATTATTCATGACACTTTATTTTGTTTCTATCTCTTCTTAGCATTTGACCATTATTTTTAATCTCAGGGGATTTCTTGTTGGCAACTACTGCTGCCTTACCAGGCACTGTAGCAACAGTTGATTAAGATTTATAAACGGGAGATTTGTAGAGTCTTACATTTAGATTAAGAAATTAATTATAAGTAAGTATGAGAGTATGGATAAAATCTCAGAGCAGACATAATACCAGGTTCAAGAGCAATTTTTTTGTGAAATGCCAAAGTACCAATGATGTCAGTCAACAGTGTGACATAATTGCCATAAAAGTAACCTGCCCTATGAATGCATTAATTTAAACATATTTATGTTCTAGGTTTTTGGGCTATTTTCTCTGCTAATGAACAAAAATGGGTGTGTCCTTTTGACAGGACTCTAGCAATTTGGGGGAATTTTACTGCTTTCTGATTTGATGAGATATTGCAGGCTTATGTGGCTTTCAAGGGTAACCCAAGGAATTTCTTCTTTTCTTTCTTATCTTTTTTTTCTTAGTTCTCATTGTAAGTTCATGATTTAACAGTGTTTGGGGGGTGTGTGTGGAGAGGAGGTTTACTATGGGAAATGGCTTGTGCAATTAAGAAAGCAGGAGCCGGGCTCGGTGGCTCAGCCTGTAATCCCGTGCCTTTGGGAGGCTGAGGTGAGTGGATTGTCTGAGCCCGCGGGTTCGAGACCTGCCTGGGCAGCGAGACCTCATCTCTACAATAAATCAAAAAAATCAGCCGGGTGTGGTAGCGCGCCTGTAATTCCGGCTACTTGGAAGGCTGAGGCAGAAGGATCGCCGGAGCCCAGCAGGCGAGGCTGCGGTGGCCAGGAGCGGCCACTGCACTCCAGTCTGGGCAACAGTGAGACTCCAACTCAAAAACAAACAAACAAAAAACAAGAAAGCAGGAAAGTCCCACAGTAGGTCATCTGTAACTAGAAAACCAGGGAAGCATGGCCCTGTACAAGTCTGAAAGTCTCAGGGAAAGTGAGTGCTGTAACTCTCAGTCTGAGGCCAAAGTCCTGAGAGACTGGGAGACAGGAGTCCAGAATCCTAAGAAGTGGAGTTCAGATGTCCAAGGCCAGCCGAAGGAATGTGTCCAAGCTCCAGGAGAAGAGCGGAGGGAGGAATGGTGCCGAGAGAGAATTCGCCTTTGCTCTGCCTTTTTTGTTCTGCCTGGGCCTTCAAAAGATCGGCGGGTGCCTGCCCACTTGGGTCAGGGCAGGTCTTCCTTACTTAATCCAGTAAAACCAATGCCCATCTCTTCTGGAAACACCCTCGCAGTTACACCCAGAAATAATGCTTTGCCATTTGTCTGTATCTCTTGATCCAGTCTCATTGAAATTAATCATCGCAGCCTGGCATTTCTGTTTCTTTGAAATGTTGCCAATCATCTAATTTTGCTTTTGTAAAAGATCAGGAAAGTACAAACTCTTTCAACTGAATGAAAATTAACACTTTTCTGTTGAATATTTACTTTTTAAAATCTAGTTATGTTAGTGAAATAACTGTGATATCAAACTTTGGAATTTTAGGGTAAACTAAGGCACTGAATGGTGGATAAATTTGTTGGGTTGAAGAGAATACCAGCATCACAATCACACACTTTGTCACATACATATTAAAGGTTTTTTTTTAAATTCTTTAACTATTTGATTATTTATTAGCCATTTTAAAGCATTCCTACCCACCTGCCAGTTCACTGAGATTCAGAAATGTGACTTCATTTTTCCTGGAAAGATATCTGTGGGGAGAAGGATTGTAGATATTTTTATTTTAATCAAGGTAAAATTTATATATTGTACTTCAATTATATTTTATATGCTGGGACATGAGAGTTATATTTTATTATTTATAAAGGTTTAAAAATATATTTGAACAGTTAATGTGTTAGGTGCTTTATAAAGTATAGACTGCCAATAATTTGGTAGTGGTTGGAAAAATATGCATAGTAATAGGTAGCATAATAACGATATTAACACTTAATAGGTTATAAATTGCTTTTCTATGCATTCCTACCTGCCTATCTGTGAGATGTAGGTCAAATTGTATTCTCTCTTACAGAGGAAGAAGCTTGGACTCTGGCAAGTTAAAATGACTTGATTTATTGTCTTAATGTTAAAAACAAGTAGCATTTGAAAGAAAACATCAATGTTCTGATTTCTGGTCT